AAACAGGCAAACAGCTGGAGATAGCTCTGTCACCTTACGATATGAACAAGGAACTGAACACATTGGTCAGATTAAGGATAATTTGGTCTTGGCATAGTCTGACCAATGGGCTTTATGATGGCTATTCTTCTCTGAATCTATTCAGAGAGGCTAGTCTCGCTGATTTCGGTGTGAGTGCCGTTCACCCAGTCATATATTTCTGTGGTATTCGATTTGCTATTGGTACGATTGACAAGCGAAAAAGTCTAGTTTGGGATGACATTTTCCCCGAGTTATTGGCCTGTTGATGAAAGTTGTGTGAGCGGATCAAGAAGGCCAAGGAGAATTCCAAACTGGTATTCATTCATATTGTCTGTGGAGTTAAATGACTGGCAGAAAATCCCATGTCTACTGCTCATTGTTGTTCAAGACGTCAACCAGGTTGAGTGTTGTCAAGAACGTGAGCTTCCGGTAGGTACATTGTGCAGGGCTGCAGTATTTTCAATTTATTGTGAATGCCCCTATAATCTTCTCACCTCCTTTGTTTTTTCGCCGTGCGCACTTGAGCTTCCAACCGGTACATTGTGCAGGGCTGCAGTATTTTCAATTTATTGTGAATGCCCCTATAATCTTCTCACCTCCTTTGTTTTTTCGCCCACAGTGCGCACTTCCCACCAGCACAGGGATTCAGTCATTCTTTAATCGGTTAGAGTCCCCTTCTAACCCACGATCGACCTTTATTTTGATGCCAGTATGACATTCTAATTGAAGATAAGTGGACCAAAGTATGAAGATTTTCCAGTTCATGTTGATTCATGATGAAGAAATTGAAACCAAAAGGCGACAATCTATCCTTCGTTGTACAACATCCTTACAGAAATACCTATATGTACATATACCTCAAGAAAACAAATGTCAATTGAGGGCCATCAAACTCTTTCCAACGCTCAACTCTTCCATCCAGCCAGTGTTGGCTCTGAATTTCATTGTGCTGTCTACTTCAGCTGTATTCAGCTGTTTTAGCAGATGAATATTGGCTGATTTCGGCACACATAGTTGTGGACTACAGGATTCATATATTGGCATATTCTGGAGTAACGTGGTAAGATATCTGACGCACAGCAGTCGATTTGTTAAACTCATAGTTTATTTTCATGAAACTGCGGATACTCAGTGAATCTGGAATTGCTGTATCGCATACTGGTTTTGTTTGATCTGCCCATTAGTCCTGGCTCCATATCTATCGATTCAGTGTTTCTCCTGATTGATCATGGGGTTGACAACCATTTGGCGGTCTCAAACACAGATTTTTTTCTTCGGTAAACCGTTTCACACTACATCGAACCAGTGTAGTCAAAGCCAATCACAATAAGTTTGACGGCGACACCTAAATTTCATCTCGTGACTAGAATAAGTGAATGCCAGAGTCGATTGACTCTGTAAACCCAGTTACTTAGTGTTTCAAGTCGCAAAGACCAAAGGGTAGTCACAGTGACAGTCACCTGTTTTCGTGCGTTTCAGGTCCATGAGGGGGACTGTGACTGAAACAAGGCGAAGACATCCTCCTACGATTGGAATTGGCAGAATTCAAGATGTCACCTAATCCCTACCCCATGTGTGGGTGATAAGCCAGACNACAGAACTCTTTTCGGGGGTTCTGTTCACATAGGTTATAGCATGCCAACATCAAAGTGCGGAAATTTTGTAGACTGGTGTAGACTAGGGTACCTATCAGGAAAGACCAAGAAGACTGATTGGAGTCAACCTTTGCTTGACGCTTACACCGTACCACATCGAGCAGGATCAAATTTCTCAACCTACGAACTCCATATGGGTGCAGAGAATCACAATCTACTGCCGCTGGACATAAACATCTGGTGTCACTAATTACGAATGCAGCCTTAGGTCCATTTGGTTTATGCTCTATGTCCATAGCGTATGTGTCTGATCCCCAGACACATGAACGGTACCAAATGTCCCATAGCTTGGAAAGATTAAAAATGTGCCACCGACTGCCTCTACTGAACAGGCTAACCCGTACCATGACAAACAGGCAAACAGCTGGAGATAGCTCTGTCATCTTACGATATGAACAAGGAACTAGACACATTGATCAGATTAAGGATAATTTGGTCTTGGCATAGTCCGACCAATGGGCTTTATGATAGCTATTCTCCTCTGAATCTTTTCAGGGAGGCTGCTCTCGCTGATTTCGGTATGAATACCGTTCATCCAGTCATATATTTCTGTGGTATTCGATCTGCTATTGGTACGATTGACAAGCGAAAAAGTTTAGTTTGGGATGACATTTTCCCCAAGTTATTGGCCTGTTGATGAAAGTTGTGTCAGCGGATCAAGAAGGCCAAGGAGAATTCCAAATTGGTATTCATTTAAATTGTCTGTGGAGTTAAGTGACTGGCAGAAAATCCCATGTCTACTGCTCATTGTTTTCCAAGACGTCAACCAGGTTG